TTTTTTTTGTCGGTTGTGGGGCCTGAACTCTGGGCCTGGGCGCTGTCCCTCAGCTCTTCATCTCAAGGCTAGCACTCTCCCACTTGAGCCACAGCACCACTTCCGGTTTTTTCTGCATATGTGGTGCTGAGGAATCAAACCCAGGGCCTTATGCATATATAGCAAGCACTCTACCACTAAGCCACCTTCCCAGCCCTATTGGCTAAAATTTTATTGAGGAGCTTTGCTTCTGTGTTCATCAAAGAGATTGGTCTGTGGTTCTCTTTTTTTATTGGGTCTTTGCCTGGTTTGGGTATGAGTGTGCTATTAGCTTTATAGAATGAGTTTGGGATTGCTCCCTCTGTTTTTATTTCTTGGAAGAACTTGAGGAGTATGGGTATTAGTTCCTCTTTAAAGGTCTTATAGAATTCCATAGTGAATCCATCCAGTCCTCAGCTTTTCCTTGTTGGAAGACTTCTGATTGCTTCCTCTATCTCATTGTGAGTTGTTGGCTTATTAATTGATTTATTTCTTTTTGGTTCAGTTTGGGCAATTTGTATTTCTCTAGATACTCATCCATTTCTGCTAGGTTTTTCTTCCTTAGTGAGTATAGAGTCTGGAAAGAGTTCTTTATAATTGTTTGGATGTCTTGGGTAATTGTTGTAATTTTTCCCGTGGCATCCCTGATCTTATTGATTTGGGTCTCCTCTCTTCTTTTTTTAGTTAATCTTGCCAGAGGTCCATCAATTTTATTAATTTTGTCAAAAAACCAGCCTTTTGTTTTATTAATTTTAAAGTTTTCTTAGTCTCTATCTCATTTTATTTTGGTTATCTCACTCCATCTAGTAAGTTTAGGTTTAACATTTTCTTGTTTCTCTAGCAGTTTTATTTTGGTTATCTCACTCCATCTAGTAAGTTTAGGTTTAACATTCTCTTCTTTCTCTAGCAGTTTTGGATTATTTACTTGATCTGTCTCTGTTTTCTTGATATGTGCACTGAGAGCAATAAATTTGCCCCTCAGGACTGCTTTTGCCATATCCCAGAGATTTCTTTGTGATGTGTATTCATTTTCATTGAATTGTAGGAACTTTTTAAATCATTTAATTTCTTCTGTGACCCAGGTGTTGCTCAGAAGTGTGCTGTTTAATTTCCATGTGTTTGAGTAATTTCTGTTGTGTGCTTTGTTATTGAGAACTAGTTTGATTCCACTATGGTCACATAGAATACAGGGGATTATGTTGACTTTCTTGTATTTGCTTAAATTCCTTATATGAACTAAGATACGATCTATTTTGGAGAAAATTCCATGGGCTGCTGAGGAGAGTATGTATTGTTGTTGGGTAGAAAACAATATATGTTAGTTAAGTCTGCTTGAGATAGGGCATCACTTAATTTGGAGATGTCTTTGCCAATTCTTTGGTTGGTAGAACTCTCCTTTGGTAAGAGTGGAGTATTAAAGTCTCCTAATATTATTGTATTTGGAGCTATCTTTTCCTGTGAGTCTGAGAGTATTTGCTTAACATATTTGGGTGCACCAATGTTTGGAGAGTATAGATGGACAATGGTGATATCCTCTTCTTGGATCGTTCCCTGTATTAATATGTAGTGCCCTTTCTTGTCTTTTTGTAATGATTTTTATATAAAATTTATTTTATCAGATATCAGGATGGCAACTCCTACCTTCTTGTTGGGAGCATTTGCATGGTAGATCTTCCGTCAGCCTTTTACTTGGAGTTTGTTTTTATCTTTGGCTGTGAGATAAGTCTTTTGAAGACAAATTGATGTATCTTGTTTTCTGATCCATTCTGCAGTTCTTTTTCTTTTAATTGGTAAATTGAGTCTATTAATATTCATGGTTATTATAGAGAGGTGTATTGTGTTTCCTGTCATTTTCCTGCTTTCCTAAGTTTTTCTTCTTTCCTTTCCTCCTGTGTTTACTAAGTTGATCTAGTGATATCTTTCTGATATGGATCCCTGATCTTGATTGTTTTCTTCAGATTGTAATCCCCCCCTTAGCATTCTTTGTAATGCTGGCTTAGTGTTTATGAATTCATTTAGTTTTTCTTTTCTATTAAAAATTTTAGTTTCTCTTGAAAGTGAATGCTAGCTTCACTGGATATACCAGTCTGGACTGGCAGTTATTGGTTCTCAGGGCTCAGATGGTATTTTCCCAGGTTTTCCTTGCATTCTGTATGGAGAGATCTGCAGTGATTCTAATTTTTTCCCCATGTAGTATAGCTCCTTCTTTGCTGCATGAGAGATTGTTTCTTTTTTTTTTTTGGGTCTGGTCGTGGGGCCTGAACTCTTGGCCTGGGCGCTGTCCCTCAGCTCTTCAGCTCAAGGCTAGCACTCTACCACTTGAGTCACAGCGCCACTTCCGGCTTTTTTTTTTCTGCTTATGTGGTGCTGAGGAATCAAACCCAGGACATTAAGCATGCAAGGCGAGCGCTCTACCACTGAGCCAACTTCCCAGCCCGAGAGATTCTTTCTTTATTGCTGAAATCTAGAATTTTTACTATATTGTGCCTAGCAGTGTTCCTCCTGGGATCCTGCTTGTTCAGTGTTCTGTAAGCCTCTGTTATGTAGGTAAGATTTTCTCTTTTAAGACTGGGAACATTTTTGGTGATGATCTTATTGAATAAGTGTTGCATTCCTCTATTCTGGTATTCCTTACGTTTGTCCACCCCAATTATACAACAGTTAAATTTCTTGGCACTGTATGCTTGTTCTTGGACTTCCCTTTGGCATATTTTGAGTGCTTTTTCCATATCTGTAACTTTTTTTTCCCAGTTCCTGCAGTTTGTCTTCAGTATCTGATATTCTGTTTTCCATTTCATTCACTCTATTACCTGCGGCTTCCATTGTGGTTTGCATGGAGGAAATTGAGCCATTTATGATTTCTATGTCAGTTCTCAGAGTATTAATCTCAACTTTTAGCAAGGTGTATACTGCATCTGTTTTTGAATGCATTTCTTGTTTGAAATCCTGGATCTCTTTTGCTAATTCATTTCTTTGTTCTTTAAATTTCTGATCCATTTCTCAATTTAATTATTGAGTCATTGCCTCTATCCTCTCTCGGATGTAGCATTTGTCTTCCATTTCTTTTTTGCTTCCACTGGAGTTCTTCCCTGGGTGGCCGCTGGCCTTTGAGTTTAGTTTGCTGTCTTGGCAGTTGATGAATCATGTAATTTTTGGCTGTGATTTTCACATATGGATTCAGGGATTATTGGAGACCAAGTCCAGACTCTTGACTGTTTTGGTCACTAGGTGGCTGTCTTTGCTTGGTTCTGGATTGGTTCCTGGATTAATTGATGAAGCTTGCTCTCAGCCCTGGGCTGGTTGAGAGAACTTTACCTGGTCTCAGTTCTGTTGGGGGAGGGACTGCTTTTCAGCTGCTGGTCTGACACATGTAGGGTGATCTTAGATACTGGTGGGTAGACACACTCTCTTCCTCTGCTGTGGTGTGCACTCAGATCCTGACCAGTCAGGGTCAAGCGGTTCAGACAGCTTGGGCTCCCACCTGGGACACAGAGAGGGCTCCTTCAGCTGCTTGCTGGAGATCCCAGGAAGTTCTCGCCTTCAGTCAAGGAACAGCAGCCTAGACTGCTCTCCCTTCCTCCCAGGGGCACTCTTGGTCAAGCCTGGTGGGGGGGGGGGATTAGGGAGTGTTTGCTGCTGTTTGCTGGGGTGCTTGCACAGTTCCCAGCTTTCATAGGACCTTTAGCCCAGATGGTAGAGGGAAGGGTCCAAGTCAAGTTCTGGGGGTTACCACCAGTACTGGTCTGCCATCCGGGGATGGAGGGAGGCGTACCCTGTGGGGTACTAACTTATCTTAGAGCTAGTTGTGAGCCGTCCAGTGATACTGTGGCAGATTGCTGTTTTTGTGTGCTGTAGATTGTTGGTCACCACCACATTCTGTGTAGGCTGGGTCTGTGTTTCACAGTCTCTGCCTCTGTTTATGCTGTCTGGGTCAGCGCCGTGGCCGTTTTCTGTGGTGGCCTTCTATAGACCGGACTGCTTTGGTTCTGGGGTCCCCAGCCTCCGTGGGCCAGGGTGCTTTGGCAGGATGATGTGGAGCTGAGCTTGGGTGAGGGGTAGGGGAAGGGGTCTTCCTGCGGGTTCTGAGCTCTGCATTTTCTGTCTCTGTTTGCACCCACTGGGTTGGCACCGGCTCTTGGGAGTCTTCTGGAAATCTTGGGACCGTTGTGGCTCTGTGGTTCCCAGTGGGTCCTGGGCCAGGCCACTTGGGTGGCTTGGCGTAGAGACATGCTGCCAGCAAAGGGTGGGGGAAGGGTCTTCCCGCTTTACCATCTTTGTATAGGTTCTGAAGTTTTTTTTCTTTTCTTTTTTTCACTTCTTATATCTCTCTGTGTATTAGGCCTTTTTGTTGTTGTTGGTCGTCAGTCTCTTGGAGAAATGGAGTGTTGAAACCTGAACTCTTTGTTTGGTTGGAGAGAGCTGTGGTGTTTCCCGCTTGTTCCATCGCCATCTTGGCCCTCCTCTAAACTTACGTTTTATAGTATGAAGCTCATTGTGATCTGATACTTAATGATTTTTTTTTTTTTTTTTGAGAAAGAATCTTACTCTATTACCCAGTGTGGCCTTGAATTCCTGGTCTTGAGTGATTCTCTTGCCTCTCCCTTCCAAGTACCTTGAACAACAGGCTAGAAACCACCATTCCCATCTTATTAATGATTTTATGCCTTGCTTTTCCTGTTTACCAGTAGTTTGGACTCTTTTTGAATGTTTTGTTTTTTGCAGTCTTGGGATGAAACTTGGGACCTCACACATGCTAAGAAGGTACTCTTCCAGCAGAGACTGTACCTCCAACCCTTTCTCTTTGGTCTTTACAATACTTACCATCACTCACAAAACATAAAACTTGTTATCGAGTATCCACCAGTGTGTATAAGGATGAGATATAGAAATTGTGTATTTGAAAATATTGTGGAATTAGTGTGGGGAGGATATTTTGGAAAATATCCGGGAGATGAGATTTACTATGATTGCTCTTTTCTCAGTTTGTTAGCTTTAGGATTGAAACATTTTGAAGGGACTGAGTTTCCAAAGCCTTTAATCAGCAAGTACCTTGTAACCTGCAAGACTGCCCACCAACTCACAGTGAGAATTAAGAACCTGAACTTGAACCGAGCTCCTAACAACATCATTAAAGTAAGTGTTCCCTGAAAACTCCCCTGAGGTTCCCATTCCATGTGTGTCTTTTTTCCCTCCTCTTCTTAACGTCAGTGTAGAGAGGGATCTTTTATCTGAGGCTCATCTCTTCCACTCTTGTAGTAGATTAATTCCATGTATGCCTTGTCAAAGATACTGGATCATCATTTTCCTCTGGAGTATCTTTATCCTCACCTCTCTTATGGATATTCTCTCTAATAAGAGATTATTCAACGGGTGCCAGTGGCTTACGCCTATAATCTTAGCTATTTAGGAGGCTGAGAACAGAGGAGTGCGGTTCAAAGCCAGCCTGGGCAAGAAAGTCTGTGAGATAAGAAAGTCTTATCACCAATTAGCCATGAGAAAACCGGAAGTGGTGCTGTGGCTTAAGTGGTAGAGCACACGCCTTGAGCTGAATTGCTGAAGGACAGTGCCCAGGCCCAGAGTTCAAGCCCTACAACCGACAAAAAAAAAAAAAAGGATTATTCAAGTCAGAAAAGATTTCATAAATCTTTAATTTCCTTTATATAGTCTTCTTTTACTTTAACCTTGCAAGGGTATACAGTATTCCACTCATGTTCTTCTTAACTCAGCTCTTTTATTTATGTTGAAGTTATACAGTATGTGCTTTATATGTACAGGTTTTTTTTTTTTTTTTTTTTGGTCCGGTTGTGGGGCCTGAACTCTGGGCCTGGGCGCTGTCCCTCAGCTCTTCAGCTCAAGGCCAGCCCTCTACCACTTGAGCCACAGCACCACTTCCGGCTTTTTTCATTTTGCTTATATGGTGCTGAGGAATTGAACCCAGGGCCTCATGCATGCAAGGCAAGCACTCTACCACTGAGCCACCTTCCCAGCCCTGTACAGGTATATTTTAAAGAGACAAATAGTCCTATGAGGCTTGTTATGAAAAATTTTTTTTCTCTTATACTAAGCAAGTTTTCTTTGGGTTGGTGGGTTTCCTACAACATCTAAGTATACCATCCCTGTAATTGACACTTGATGTTTTAGATTTAGGCCTAGTTTTATGAAACTTCAACCATTGATGCTGAACATTTAAGTCCCTCCCTCCCCTTTTAAAAAAAATTAACCTTCAGGGACCCAGATCTATCCCATCCTTCTTCTTATTTATCTTATTTATTCATTGGTGTATTTCTTTTTTTGTCAGTCCTGGGGCTTGAACTCAGGGCCTGGGCACTGTCCCTGAGCCTCTATGTGCTCAAGGCTAGTACTCTACCACTTGAGCCATAGCACCACTTCCTGCCTTTTCTGTTTGTGTGGTACTGACAAATCAAACCCAGAGCTTCATGCATGCTAGGCAAGCATTCTACCACTGAGCCACATTCCCAGCCCGGGTCCTAGATTTTTAACTCAGGGCCTGGGTATTGTCCCTGGGCTTTTTTTGCTCAAGGCTAGCCCTCTGCCACTTGAATCACAGTTCCACTTCCAGCTTTGTGGTAGTTAATGGAGATAAAAGTCTCACAGACTTTCTTGCCTGGGCTGGCTTTGAACCTTGATGCTCAGTTCTCAGCTTCCTGGGTAGCTAGGATTACAGGTGTGAGTTACTGTTGCCCAGCTTAAAAAAACAATTGTGTCATTAGGATTTTGTTGTATCTTATCCCACAAAATATTTTTGTTCAGGTTTAAGATGTATATCAGTTTTAAAGCACATTGTTGTATGTATATTTTCTTTTCTTGTTGGGTATGGGACTTGAACCAGGGCATGAGTGCTGTTCCTGGGATTTTTCTGCTCAAGGCTAGTGTGCCACCACTTTAAGCCACAACTCCATTTCAGCTTTCTAATGGCTAATTGGAGAGGCTCACGGACTTTCCTACTGAGCTGGCTTTGAACTACAATCCTCAGATCTCAGCCTCCTGAGTAGCTAGGATTATAATTTCGAGTCACCAGTGCCCAGCTATATGTAATTCTTCTTATATAGAGTATCATTATTGGTCTATTTGCCTGTCTTTCCCACTAGTTGGAAGTAGGAATTGCTTGAAATTAGGAATTGCTTCTCTTGTCTTTATGCTCAACTTTATACCTCTGTGCTTGATACACATTCAACATTCTGAAAGAATAGGTGTTTATTATCTATGGTTTAAGCCCAATACTCCCTTATTTATCCATCCATCCATCTATCCATTCATCTATCCATTCTTCATTGCTGGGGATCAGGTACCAGTCCTCATGCATGCTAGGCAAAACTCTAGCTAAATCTCCATGTTTTCCTCTCTCATTGGTTCCAAAAATTGAATCATTTTTCTTTTCCTTTCTATGATGTTTACACCATTACTTGTGTGAAAGTAGTTTTCAGGTGTCCAAGAGGAAGGTGAAGTCAGTATCTGCAGCTGTGGACCATGGGCAAATCCTACACAAAGTTATTCTCACCAACTGCTTCCTTTTTCTCTGTGACCTAAATGTTTTCCTTTTTCCCAATCTGTATGGAGACTGCCAGTTAGGAGATTCTAAGTAATTATAAAATCTTTATAAATTATAGATTAACAAAAATATTGCATATTTTTGGAAGGAATATAACTAATGCTTTATTTCTTAATGCTGTTTAAAAATTATTATTAAATAGTTATACAAAAATTTTTCAATTCCATAATCAGGTTATGAGTACAATGCTTCTTGATCAATGTCACCATCACCCCTTGCATTGTTCTCCCCCATTCATTCATGCTCAGTTTTATAAGAAGACTAAACAGCTGCCAATCCTGGTAAGGTGTTGTGAAGAGATCCAGCCACATCAGTGGAAGCCACCTGTAGAGAGAGAAGAACACCGACTCCCTTTCTGGTTAAAGGTACTGCCTTTCTCCTAAAAGTCTATTGGAGGCCTAAAGTAACCACAATTTCTGGCAGAAATATCAAGGTTACCTTTTTTTTTTTTCTTTTTTCCCTCAGTCCTGGGGCTTGACCTCAGGGCCTAGGCACTGTCCCTGAGCTTCTTTTGCTCAAGGCTAGCACTCTACCACTTGAGCCACAGCACTCCTGGCTTTTCTGTTTATATGGTACTAAGGAGTCGAACCCAGGGCTTCTTGCATGCTAGGCAAACACTCTACCACTAAGCAACCTTCCAGCTCTCAAGGGCTACTTTAAGCTTCTAATATTTTGGTTGTTGAACTGAGATGTATTTCCCTCATATACCCTTCTTCTTCCTTTACTCTTCTGCTTTTCTCCTAGGTAATTACAGTCTTCTCAAAATAATGATAAAATGATAATTTCTAAAACTCAAAGAAGAGTTTATATGATATATTTGATATGTAGAAAGACCCTTTTTGGAAAGATAACTTGAGACTGTCTGGAAAGGTCCTTAAAAATCTAGAAAGTCCTATACTTTATCTCCTTTTTTTCTTTTTTGGAGGTAGATACTGGTGTTTGAGCTCAGGAGTTTGAATTGCTTGCTCATTCCCCTTGAGCCATACTTTTCCTTTTTTTGTGTGTGTATATACTGGTCCTGGGGCTTGAGCTTAGGGCTTGGATGCTGTCCTTGATTTTTTTTGCTCAAGGCTAGCATTCTACCACTTATGTTACAGCTTCACTTCTAGCTTTTGGTGATTAATTGAAGGTAAGAGTCTCACAGATTTTCCTGCCTAGGCTGGCCTCAAATTTTAATCTTCAGAGTTTAGCCTCCCCAGTAGCTAGAATTATAGGCATGAGCCATTCATTTGTGCCCTACCACCCTTTTTCTTTCTTTCTTTCTTTCTTTCTTTCTTTCTTTCTTTCTTTCTTTCTTTCTTTCTTTCTTTCTTTCTTTCTTTCTTTCTTTCTCTTTCCTTCCTTCCCTCCCTCCCTCCCTCCCTCCCTCCCTCCCCTCCTCTCTCTTTCTTTCTTTTCTTTTCTTTCCTTTCCTTTTCTTTCTTTGCTTGAACTCTGAGCCTGGGTGCTGTCTCTGAGCTCTTCAGCTCAAGGCTACCACTTGAGCCACAGTTCGACTTCTGGTTTTCTGGGAATTAATTGGAGATAAGAATCTCACAGACTTCCCTTCCCTGAGATTGTCTTTGAACTGAGATCCTCAGAGCTCAGCCTCAGGGGTAGCTAGGATTACAGGCATGAGCCACTGGTGCCCAGCTACCCTTTCTTTTTAACTGGCTATTTTGGAGATTGAATCTCTGCCTGGGCTGATTTTGAACAATAATCCTCTGGATCTCAGCATCCTGAGTAGGTAAGATTATAGGTGCGAGCCACTGATGCCTGGCTTCCCCTAAATTCTTACGTTAAAGAATGTTTCTGAGCCCTTCTGTATTCTCAATAGGCCAGTCTACCATCGATCCAGGAAGAAATGAAGAACATAACTAATGGTGCTACAGAGGAAGGAAATGTAACTAGAACCACTGAGGTCAATGAAAAGAAAGACCAGGAAAAAGCCAGACCAGAGTTGGGGAATGAAACTCGATACCCACTGCTGTTACCCAAGGATGTAGTACTGAAACTGAAGCCTGTTTCCAAGCGTTTCTCCAGGAAGGCTTGGAGACAGAAGCGTTCATCAGTCCTGAAACCCCTCCTTATTCAACCTAGCCCCTCTGTCCTGCCTAGCTTCAACCCGGGGAAAATAGCAGCATGGCCAACTCAATCTGAAGTCCCTCCAAGCAAAATGGTGGTCCAGATTCCTCATCTGATCCAGCCAGCTACTGTTTTACAGACAGTTCCAGGTTTCCCTTCCTTGGGTGATCCCCAGGGGAAGGACAATTTTGAGCCTACTACAGCACTGCCTGCTGTGCCTGCTGAGGCTAGGACCAGCATCCCTTTTCCTGAGTCTCACACCCTCCTCCCCTCTGCACCTGTGCCCAAGATGCTGCTGCCTTCTCTAGCCCCATCTAAATTTCGAAAACCATGTGTGAGGCGGAAACCCTCAAGAAGGAAAGGGGCAAAGGCTTCTCCCTGTGTGAAACCTGCCCCACTCATGCACCCCACTCCTGTTATCTTCACTGTCCCTGCTGCCACTGTGAAGGTTGTGAGTCTTGGCAGTGGCTGTAACATGATCCAGCCTGTCAATGCAGCTGTGGCCCCCAATCCCCAGACCATTCCCATTACCACTCTCCTGGTCAACCCTGCTCCTTTTCCCTGTCCATTAAACCAACCCCTTGTTGCTTCCTCCATCTCACCCTTAATTGTTTCTGGAAATTCTGTGAATCTCCCAATACCATCTACCCTCAAAGATAAGACCCAGGTGAACGCAGACATTGCTTGTCCTTTGGTTGAAGGAAAGAATGCCTCTCAAAGCCTTGAGCCCAAATTAGAACCCCAGGAACTAACTCCTCTGTGTGCTACTGTCTTCCCCAAAGAGGAACACAGCCCAGGGCCTCCCTCAGCAGATAGAGAATGCCAGGAAGGGTTGTCAGAGAGACCTGCCTGTGGAGTGACAGTTGTGAAATCTGAAATTCAGGAAGGGTTGTCAGAGAAGAGTGCCTGTGGTTGGGCCATAGTGAAAACAGAGGAGGGGAGGCAGACTCTGGAGACGTTGCCTCAAGGCTTCCAGGAATCCCTATGTTCCTCCCACGGGGATTTAGAGGAAATAGTCAAGCTAGAACCTGAGGACCCTGTGGAGGAGATCTCCAGTGGGTTCCCTGAACAGGAAATTTGTGATGAAATAAAAAATGAACACTCTATTGAATTGAGCACTGATTCCCTAAGGGAGGAACTGAGCAGTGCTAGAGATGTAAAGAAACAAATGATCCTGCAGAAGGAGGAGTGCAGTCAGGCAGCTTCATCCCCTTCAGCTTCTCAAGAGCCTCCTGATGAAAATCCAGGTGGAGATGTGAGCAAAAGGACACTTAAGAATGTTCCATCATCCATAGACCCGGAAATAGAGCTTAATAGTCCCCCAAGGAAGTCTGAAGATACATCCAGTGTCGATGGTCAGTCACTGGGGATCCCATTGGTGCCAGAAACTGGAGGAGAGAAGGATGGGCCAGAGGAAGAGGAAGAGGAGGACTTTGATGACCTTACCCAAGATGAGGAAGATGAAATGTCATCAGCTTCTGAGGAGTCTGTGCTTTCTGTTCCTGAACTCCAGGTAAGAGCTGGGGAGCAATCTCAAAGTTACTTTGTGGGGTGTCTTAGTAATATGTTGAGTTTATATACCTGCTTGTTATTCTGCTCTAGATAGTCTTAAAGTGATTTCCATTTCACTTTAAAATTGTTTCAATTTGCTTTTTTAATACCTTTCAAAATTTCTTTTTCTCTTTTTCTTTTGGTACCAGTCCTGGGACTTGAACTCAGGGCTTGGGCACTGCCCCTGGGCTTTTGTGTTCAGGGCTAGTATTCTACCACTTGAGCCATAGCCTCACTTCTAGTTTTTTATTTTTGTTTTTGTTTTGTTTTCTTTTGCCAGTCCTGGGGCTTGAACTCAGGGCCTGAGCACTTTCCCTGAGCTTCATTTGCTCAAGGCACTTGAGCCACAGCGCCACTTCTGGCCTTTTCTGTTTATATGGTATTGAGGAATCAAACCCATGGCTTCATGCATACTAAGCAAACATTCTACCACTAGGCTACCTTCCCAGCCCCCACTTCTAGCTTTTTAGTAGTTAATTGGAGATAAGAGTCACTCTTTCAGAGTTGGCTCTCCTTTCAGGGTTGGCTTTGAACCACAATACTCAGATCTCATTCTTTTAAATAGCTAGGATTACAGATGTAAGCCATGAATGCCTGGCATAATTTTTTAAAGTTGTCTTTTAAGTAGTTGTACAAAAGATTTCAACTTGACAGGTCAGTTTATAATTACAATGCATTTTGATCTGGTTACTTCTTTTTCATTATTCTCCCTCTAGTATACTTTAAAAAAATTAAATAGTTGTACAAAGGGGTTTCAATTCCAGAAGTCAGGTGATGAGTACAATGCATCTTGATCAGTATCACCCCTTCCATTGGTCTCCCTCATGTTTTTTATTTTTTGTTGGTCATGGGGCTTGAACTCTGGGCTTAGGTGCTGCCCCTCAGCTCTTCAGCTCAAGGCAAGTGCTCTACTACTTGAGCTACAGTGCCACTTCCTCTATTTTATTTTTGATTGCATTATAGGACACAATTTTGAGATTGAAGTGAAATGAAAGAGAAAAAGAAAATTTTACTTGGAATAAAACTCATTTTAACATTAAGTTGAGTTGCCCAAGTACATTTTATTTTATTTTTATTTTTTTGTGGCCGTACTGGGGCTTGGACTGAGGGCCTCCTGCTGTCTTTTAACTTTTTTTTTCCTCAAGGCTGATACTCTACCACTTGAGCCATACCTACATTTCTTTTTCTTGATTAATTGGATATAAGGGTATGTTAGAGGGAAGGGAAAAAACAATTCGTTTAAATAGGGATACAGGTGGACCCATTGCAACAATGAGATGTACAAGTCGTTATGTCAAAAAACGAACTTTACAACTTTGGCGGAGGGGGGGGAGTGGGGGAGATATGGGTGGGGGGTCAGGATATGGGAAGGAATAGGAAGGGGAAACAAAGGAGGAAGCAACAATGCTTGATAAGAAATGTACTCATTATCTTGCCCATGTAATTGTAACTCCTCAGTATGGCATTTTCAAATTAAACAACAAAAAAAGAGTATCTTAGATTTTTCTGCCTGGGCTGGCTTTCAACCTTGATCCTCCTGAGTTACTAAGATTAAATTCATGAGCAACCATTGTCCACTCCCCTTCCCCTCTCCCCCACTTATAAACACTTTAAGTATGTTAAAATAGCTCATAATGCTGAGCACTGGTAGCTCATGCCTATAATCCTAGCTGCTCAGGAGGCTGAGATTCAGAGGCTTGTGATCCAAAGCAGTTTTGGCCGAGAGATCCACAAGACTCCTTCTTCAAAATAACCAGCAAAGGTGGGTGCAGGTGGCTCACACCTGTAGTCCTAACTACTTAGGAGGCTAAGATCTGAGGATCAGGGTTTGAATTCAGCCTGGGTAGGCAAGTCTATGAGACCCTTATTCCAATGAACTACTCAGAAAAAGCCAGAAGTGGCATTGAGGCTCAAATGGTAGACTATTCACCTTGAGCTAAAGAAGCTCAGGGACAGTGCCCAGACCCAGAGTTCAAGCCCCAGGACCGGCAAATAAACAAAACCAGCCTTTGGTTTAGTCTTTATCGCTATTGGAAGGAAGGAGAGATGGAAAGCAGGGAGAAAAGGGAGGAAAAAAGAAGAGGAAGAGGGGCTGGGAAGGTGGCTTAGTGGTAGAGTGCTTGCCTCGCATGCATGCCCTGGATTCAATTCCTCAGCACCACATAAGCAGAAGAAAGCCAGAAGTGGCACTGTGGCTCAAGTGGTAGAGCGCTTGCCTTGAGCTGAAGAGTTGAGGGACAGCACCCAGGCCCAGAGTTCAGGCCACACGACCGGAAAAAAGAAAAAAAAGAAGAGGGAGGAAGAAAAAAATTATCCTCAGTATGGGTCATTGCAAAGGAAAACTAAGATGTAGTGGGCGGGGCACTGGTGGCTCACACTTGTAATCCTAGCTACTCAAGAGGCTGAGATCTGAGGATTACGGTTCAAAGCCAGCCGGCAGGAAAGTCCCTGAGATTCTTAATCTCCAATAAACCACTCAGAAAACCGGAAGTGGCTCTGTGGCTCTAGTGGTAAGAGTGCTAGCCTTAAGCTGAAGAGCTGAGGGACAATGCTCAGGCCCAGAGTTCAAGCCCCACAACCTACAAAAACAACAACAACAAAAAAGATGTAGGGGACCCTTCAAAAAGTACATTCTTCCTACTTTCTGCTACCCATATCCAGCCCTCACTATCCATTCAATTCTATAACTCAGTTGTCAGCCTACAGTGTTTTACCTTAGATCCTCCTGATTCAGCATTTTGTGAACCACTAGAATTCCTTACAAGTACTTTTTGGGAGTTTTCAGGAAACAATGGAGAAACTAACTTGGCTAGCATCTGAAAGGCGCATGAGTCAGGAAGGTGAGTCTGAGGAGGAGAACTCCCAAGAGGAGAATTCTGAGCCAGAAGAAGAGGAGGAAGAGGAAGTAGAAGGAATGGAAAACCATCAGAAAGAGGATGAAATGACTGATGAAGCAGTAGGTGATGCTGTGGAGAAGCCCCCTTCTACCTTAGCCTCACCCAAGACTACTCCACAAGTAGAGACCAGCAGAACCCCACCAGGTGAGCAAGGTAAACCTGTGCAGAGGGCTCATTTAGCCACCTTGTCTAGAGGTCATTGTGCAGAGTGAATGATTTCAGAGAAGTCCTGTGGATCTCCTCTGCAGCTTTTCTTTCTCCAAACATTGACATGGTGCATAGCAAAGTCCATATGACTCTTATCTCCCAAAAACTACTCAGAAAAAGCCAAAAGTGCTGTGGCTCAACTGGTAGAGCGCTACCCTTGAGCACAAGAGGCTCAGGGATAGTACCCAGGCCCTGAGATCAAGTCGCAAGACTGGCCCTCTTCCCCACCACCACCACCCCCCAAAAAAATTAAGAAAAGTTCCAAGCGGGGTGCTGGTGGCTCACGCCTGTAATCCTAGCTACTCAGGAGGCTAAGATCTGAGGATCACGGTTCAAAGCCAGCCTGGGCAGAAAAGTTTGTGAGACTCATCTCCAATAATCCACTGAGAAAACAAGAAGTGGCTGTGGCTCAAGTGGTAGAGCGCTAGCCTTGAGGTAAAGAGCTTGGAGACAGTGCCCAGGCCCTGCCCTCAAGCCCCATGACCAACAAAAGAAAAAGAAAAAAGTACTTCCGTTGCCCAGAAAACAAAAAAGAAAAATCCAGACCACAAGGTATAATTGCTTGAGACCCTAACATAAGGCCATGCTCTTTATACTTTCTTAAAATACATTACTTTTATCTCCTTGTCATACCAGCTTACCTAGCTGTGCTTCAGATTCTGCGTACAGCTGACTTGATGGAGCAGACTGTCTATACTACCGCTTTCCCAGCTACTTTTGAGTTGCTCTGTGATGTTTACTAGGCTTGGGTGTGGGAGTGCATGTGGTAGATGGCATGGCTGCAGGGACTGAGAAACAATCTTTTCTCAATGTACCCCAAAGGCGGGAGCATCAAAGCTGCTGGAAAGGGCCGGAACAGTCATCGAGTCCGCAGTAAGCGGGGAAGTCGTGCTCGGGCCAGCAAAGACACCTCCAAGCTGCTGTTGCTCTATGATGAAGACATTCTGGAGCGGGATCCTCTCAGGGAGCAGAAGGACTTGGCCTTTGCCCAGGCTTATCTGACCAGGGTAGGCAAATGATGCTTCTGTTACTGCCTGTTTCTATGAATGTGCCTACTTCTTCCCGGGAGATGTTGCTGTAGTTAATATAATTTTATTGTTATTATTAAGGTGTTGTACAGAGGGTTTACCATTTCATAAATCAGGTAATGAGTAGATGTTTTTTGCACAGTCACCCCTTCCTTTCCTCCAGTGACCTCCTATCCTCAAGAGAGATGTTTTAAAAATAAAGTCTGGGTCCAAGGGGTGGGGTGGGGTTATAGCTGTATAGCTCAGTGGTAGAGCGCTTCCCTTCCAAGTTCAAGGCCCTGGGTTCCATTCCTAGTACTGCTCCTCCCCACCCCCATCCCAATGTATTTTTTCTTTTAGGCTGTACAACATGCTTTATCTCTACCTAAGCTTCTGGAATACCACGGCTGTGAGAGCCGTGAGAAGACAGAGTTCAGTCATACCTGGGCTGATTGTTCTCCTATCTCTTTTGCTCAAAGATTGGGGTACAGATGATATATTTCTCATCAGTGGGAGATTGTCTGGGCTGATAAAAAGCCCTTTAAGCTCTTGGCTCAAGAAAAATGACAAGTAGTACTCAGGCCAGAGAGCAGATTTCAGTGGTGTTCTGGTAGCTACCTCCCCTCTTGGTAATGTACCGGTTTGTTTTCCTCCTTCAACAAAGTAGTAGCAGGGATAATTATAGCTTTTTCTTGTTCCTAATATTTTACTACCATTATAAATTATGTATTATGTATCTTCAGATGTCACAAGCTAAAGTCCATTTACCAAACTTACTTATTTTATTATGGGGTTGAAATCAGGAAGGAGAGCTTAGGGCCGTGACCTAGAGAAAAGCATTACCTTGTCTGTTGGCAGTTCCATAGTCTCTGGAAAATGAAGGTTGTTAATTGTCCCTGCCAGCAAAGGAACTCTACATTGTTCACATGTGAAGATCTGTCAGGGGAGAGCCTCTGAAGCTTAACTCTTGGAGCTCTTTGCAATTCTCCTGTCTCCCTTGGTGATTGGAAGTCTTCCTGTGTAGGTACGAGAAGCCCTACAGCATATTCCTGGCAAATACGAAGACTTCCTTCAGGTCATCTATGAATTTGAGTCAAACACTCAGAGGCAGACTGCTGTGGATCTCTACAAAAGCTTGCAAATTCTGCTCCAAGAGTGGCCTCAGCTTTTGAAGGATTTTGCTGCTTTCTTGTTACCTGAGCAAGCTCTGGCCTGTGGATTAGTAAGTAGATGGACAAAAAGATCACACAAAATTCCTGGGTCAGAGCAAGAGCTTTGTCTTCTAATGTTCCTCCCCAACCCTATTCTCTCATTTAATTTTACATAGTGAATAAGGTGTGTATGTGTGTGTCTGTCTGTGTGTTTGAGTATGCATGTGCTTGTGCACGAGTTTTAGGGGTTGGACTCAGGGCCTGAATGCCATCCCCGAGATCGCCACTTGTAGCTTTTTTTTTTTTTAATGTCAGTGTCATCCTGCGGCTTAAAATTCAGGGCCTGAGTGCTGTCCCTGAGCTGTTTTTTCCTTTTCTTTTTTTTTTTTTGGTCAATCATGGGGCTTGAACTCTGGGTCTTGGCGCTGTCCTTTAGCTCTTCAGCTCAAGGCTAGCACTCTACCACTTGAGCCACAGCACCACTTCTGGCTTTTTTGTTTATGTGATGCTGAGGAATCGAACCCAGGACCTTATGGATGCGCTCTACCACTGAGCCACCTTCCCAGTCTGAATTTTTTTTTTCTCAAGGCTAGCACTCTGCCACTTGAGCCAGAACTCTACGTCTGGCCTTTTATGAGTAGTTTATTGGAGATAAGAATCTCAAAGACTTTCCTGTCCAGGCTGACTTCAAACTGCAATCCTCAGCTCTCAGCCTTCTGAGCAGGTAAGATTGCAGATGTGAGCCACTGGCATCTGGCTTCACTTCTAGCTTTTTTGATAGTTAATTGAACATAAGAGTTTCACTGGTTTTCCTGCCCAGACTAGCTTGAAACTTTGATCCTCAGGTCTCAGTCTCTTGAGTAGCTAGCTAGGATTATAGGCATGAGCCACCGGCACCAGCTAAAGCAGGCATTCTTTCATTAAGTATTGTGCCAGGCAAAGCTGTTAGAGCTAGTATTATAGCATTTAAAAAAGACTAAGATTCCTGCCTTCATGGAACTTATAATAGGGAAAGGAGATGAATAATCCATAATCATAAATTATATGAACATGTGTGTATATGTGTATAGAAATATGTAGATTATAAAAATAAACAATAAAATATATGGTATGTTATGGTTTATAGTGATAATGTCCTATTGAAAACTAAAGAAAGGGACTGTAGTCTTGGAATTAAGATGGGTGGGGGAATGGTATCTTCACTTTGATACTCGATGTTCTGGGAAGGCCACTAGGGTAAGGTAATGTTTGAAATGTTGAAATATGAGACATAATCCAGTAGTTTTGGACTTCATGATTGATAAAATAGGAATAAAGAGAATAATAAGATAATCTTGATAGTTTTAATGCCAGTTTAATGACAATATGGTGATTATGTATATAATGCTCATCTTCTCTTTCAACTTTGTTAGGAGGATTAGATGTGTGTATGTGTGACCACTTTTTTTTTTTGTCGGTCATGGGGCTTGAACTCTGGGCCTAGGCGCTGTCCCTCAGCTCTTCAGCTCAAGGCGAGCGCTCTACCACTTGAGCTACAGCGCCACTTCCGGTTTTCTAGTGGTTTATTGGAGATAGGAGTCTCACGGTCTTTCCTGCCCGGGCTGGCTTTGAACCGCGATTCTCAGATCTCAGCCTCCTGAGTAGCTAGGATTACAGGCGTGAGCCCCCGGCGCCCGGCTGTGTGAACATTTTTTGTAAACTCTGGAGTACTACATAAGTTTGAGTGCCTGATTTCTCCATCTATAAAATAGTAAGCAACTTGAAATATGTATATCTTTCATTCACATCTTAATTTCTTAGGTTAGTAGTTAGTTCTCAGGAGCCTAGTGTAGATGGATGCTTGGGTTTAAAATAGAACCACTTTATACCCCATTTCTGTAGCCCATGTTCTTAGTTGTTAAGAGTTCTCAAGTCCTGAACTAGCTAGTTAGTAACTCCCCTCTTGCCCTTCTTCTACTCTGGTAGTTTGAGGAGCAGCAGGCTTTTGAGAAGAGTCGCAAATTCCTTCGTCAGCTGGAGATTTGCTTCGCAGAGAACCCTTCACACCACCAGAAGATCATCAAGGTCCTCCAAGGCTGTGCAGACTGTCTTCCTCAGGAGATCACAGAGGTATTCTTTCTTGTCCTGCCTCCTTTTTATTGCCATTTGAGTATTAGGTTGTTGCCTTCTCTGTTCCCCTATCTTATTCCATATACTTTTTGCCTCTGAAGTGTCATGGACACCTGGAGGAGATGAGGAAAGTAAGACCTTTTTAGGCGTATTTAAGGCGTGAAGGCAGGGATGGCCACCTGAATCCAGGACCTGTCTTGTTTTCTCAAGTTGTGGAGTATCATCAGTGCCATGAGAGGGATAATCGAGGAGAGAAGTGTGAGACTTAGAAGGGGCTTGTCTCTTATTCTGCTTAGGCTTTGTCCTACCTGGGGACCAGTTGGACAAGAGTGGAGAGTGCTATCACTAGGAATCAAATCTGTTACTAATATCCTTCCTCTGCAGGTAAACAAGAAGGGAGAAGTTGCATGTGAATTACTACCCACTAAAGAGAGGCTCTATAGATGAGCACCAATGGCTCACACCTGTAATCCTAGCTTGTCAGGAGGCTTAGATCTGAGGATCGTGGTTTGAAGCCGGTCTGAGCAGGAAAGTCTATGAGACTCTTTTTTTTTTTTTTTCCATTGGTCATGGGCTTAAACTCTGGGCCTGGGTGCTGTCCCTGTGCTCTTCAGCTCAAGGCTAGTGCTCTACCACTTGAGCCACAGTGCCACTTCTAGTTTTCTGGTGATTAATTGGAGATAAGAGTCTCACAGACTTTCCTGTCCAGGTTGGCCTTGAACCTCGATCCTCAGATCTCAGCCTCTTGAGTAGCTAGGATTACAGGTGTGAGCCATTGGTGCCCGGTGAAACTTTTACTTCCAATTAACCACCAAAAAGCCAGAAGTGGAGCTATGTCTCAAGTGGTAGAGTGGTAGCCTTGAGCAAAAAGCTCAGGCTCTGACACAAAAAATAAATGAGAGAGAGTCAGAGACAGAGAGAGAGGAGTTCTATGTTTCTTTACGTTGGCTTGCAAGGCAGAATGTCGGGAGTATATGGCACTGGCTTAGATTACTCAAAGACTATCTTTGCATCTGCCTGTTTGCAGCTCAAGACACAGATGTGGCAGCTCCTCAAGGGTCATGACCACCTACAAGATGAGTTTTCTATCTTCTTTGACCATCTTCGTCCAACAGCTAGCAGGATGGGTGACTTTGAAGAAATCAACTGGACTGAAGAGAAAGAGTATGAGGTACAGGCCCTGAGGGTACATTAGGGTTGTGAAGGGAACAGCCACCTGCAGGAGGGCTGTGAGCCCCAGAGCCTGTGTTTATTGACACCAACTCCTCCTCAGTTTGATGGCTTTGAAGAAGTGGCACTGCCTGATGTGGAAGAGGAAGAAGAACCTCCCAAAATACCTTCCACTTCAAAGAACAAGAGGAGAAAAGAGATTGGGATCCAGAATCATGATAAGGTATGTCAGGATATTGGGAACTAGCTACTTTTCATGAATCAGGGCTCTACTTTCCCTCTAAATGTTTTTCTGGCTTGTATGGTCACAAGCCCCTGGCCCCGTGTCTCAAGGTTCTGAGGTGATCATGGAGTACAAACCAAAGGGGAGGCTTCTGCGGAAAGCATGAGAGCAGACAACGCGGTTGGTGAAGAGGCCATGTGTCTCAGAACTCAGAGGTGTTTCTCTTATTCAAAAATGAAAGATCTTTGGGGCTGGGAAGGTGGCTCAGTGGTAGAGCGCTTGCCTTGCATGCTCAAGGCCCTGGGTTCGATTCCTCAGCACCACATAAGCAAAAAGAAA